TCAAAGTATTACAATAAGCAATACCTAAGAAATCTCTAAGTAAAAAAGAATTTTTTTAATATTATCAACGTATTGAAACGTTTTAAGAATTATTCTAATAAAAGGGTTTTAATTTATTTTTTCTGAATAAAACAGAAACAAACAACAACAATAATAAATAAAATTTCAATAAACAAAAAGAGTCAAGAAAATTATTTTCAAACATTGAAATTAAAACTATTTTTATCAAAATCAAATGATAACATGTATTTAATCAGTACCATTTTAAATGGGCACTATAAGGGTGTTAATTCTTTCTTATGGGTAACTAACTCTCAGACTCAAACTGTTTTGCAAACCTTAAAATTATCTTTTTAATAAATTTTAATTAATTTTAAATTTTTATTAAAATGATATCTTTTAATAGATTGTCAATCATACCTAAAAATTGATTTCTTGTTTCTTTTTTTCTTTTTCGTTTTCAAATTTGTCAGATCCAAAATCGTTATAACATGGTTAACTCAATCGGTTTTTTATTTTTAAAATTGATAATCGAATTGATCTAATTAATCGACTCTCTAATAAGTAAAGATAAAAAAATTGAAATGAATATTTTTATTTATTTTCTTTTGTAAAATGTTGTTGAAATTATTAAATCTTTTAATGATTTAATTTGAATAACATTTGAATTTAAGTTTTATTGAATTGAATTTGTAATTAAATAATTATTTATAATAAAAAATAAAAAAAATTTAATTATTTAATAAGATTAATTAAATTGAATTAATTTTTATCGATTTAATTATGATTAATTATTAAATAATTTTTAATTAATTTAATTATTTATTAAATAAAAATTAATTAAATTAATTATTGATATTTTTCAAATCGAATCAATCCAATCTACCAATTACTCGTCCATATGGACTAAACGTCAATCGTGCTGTTAACAAAATCTCAATTGACACAACTTTTGATTACAACTGCAAAGTCATAAAAGGCGCATAGCAATTCAAAAGGAGGCCTAAGGCATGTGACACCAACAGTGTCAGTGTCTTTCTACCCAGAGCCAAAGGGCCAGCTAAGCTACACCACCTAGACCGGCGCACTTGCCGGCTCACGTGGGGCTCAAGTTCTAACCCTAAGCGCACGTGGTTAGCTGTTAACCTCAAATTTTTATGTACGAATATTAATTTTATCTATATATCTAATGAAAACCTTAATTTTTTATTCGAATAAAAATAAATATTATATTATAAATATAAAAATATAAGTGTGTATAATTTTAAAAGTTTTACTAGATATAAAAATGAATAATATAATATTTGACTATATTCATATTTTTTTTATATTTTCATATATTTTGTAAATAAAAGTTTTATTAAATAATATAAATTATTATTTTAGATTTATTAAAATTAATTTGTTTTTATTAAAAATTTTATATTAATATATATTTATAAAAAAATTACTTAAATATATAAAATAAAAATTAAAAAATATATTTTTTATTTTTATTTTTTTAAAAAAAATTATAGGTATGAAGAGTATTCATATTTATTAGATATCCGTAAAATTGAAGGTAAAAATAAAAATAAAATATTTATTAAATATAAATAAGAAAATAAATATAATATAAAATTTTAAAAATAAAAAAAAAAATACTTTGACATCTTTATGACTACGGACATGTTTTTAAGCTCAAAGTTGTCTTACTTGTTCGACAACTTTCCATTTCTTTCATCAAATTCCTAACGTGGACCTCAAGGGATTCTGATTTCTGAACCGAAGACATAGCTTGGAGTTTGGGTGAAGAGAAGAAAGAAGTTGTCTCTTCTAATTTCGTTTGACAACAAAAAAGGAAGAAAAATTTCTGAAATGGGGAAGGGAGAGGGACAATTCACACCCCATACATTAATGGGTGTTTTCCTTTTCTAGTTTTGTAAACAATAAGTGTTTAGCCATATGTCAATTTTTTTTAGTTGTTAAAGGAATAATATAATGAAAAAGACAACAATGAAATTTAATGTCAAATAAGAAAAACAATAATTGAATAATTATCGGCTTTGATTCCTCTTTAATTAATTTTTTTGAATTTTTCACCTTATTCCTGCTTAAAAAGTTATATTTATTTTTTAAAAAATTTTAAATTTTAACATATGTAATTTCTTTTTATTTTAAATCCTAACTTATTTTAAAATTAAATTTTAATTCAATTATCAATGTAGCCGTCCTTGAGAGATATCATCAAATAAATTAAAGTTTAAATTTTAATTTTTTTAATTTTTTTTATTCAATCTTCAAATTAAGATTTTTTAAAATATTTTTAAAATATTGAAAAAAATATTTTTCACTTTAGTCATTACTACAATAAATGTTAGACTGTTGGTTACTATTTTTTATTATTAAAAATGTATCAATAGCAAAAGTTAATTAATTAAGAGGTATAATTATAGTTTGAAATTTATAATTTAAAAACAAAATTACTAAATACACATTAAATTATTTATTTTTGACAAAAATAATAATTTTTCCAGTGCCATATACTTTTTAAATAATTTAATTTTTACAACAATGCTAAATACTTAAGTTTAGTTTAATATTATTGTTATGGTTGGAAAATTCAGTTTGAAAAAAAAAAAAGTTTAAAAAGTACCATAAAAAATTATTGTGAAAAACTATGAAGATTTTTAAGTGTTTGGCATTGGTGTGAAAAATTATTATAAAAAATGAAAATATTTAAACAATGATTGGCAAAGGGCAAAATAGGTTATTTTTGTTAAAAACAAATAATTTAGTGGGCATTCGGTCATTTTCTTTTTTTCAAACCATGAATTTCAAAACGCAACCACACATCTTAATTAGTTTTTGCAATTTGCGCATTTTTTAAGCATTTTTAGCAGTAAAAAAAAAAATGCTTTTGACATATTATTAGCATTGCTTTTGCTTTTAAAAACTATGCTTTAGAATCCAAACACAACACCAAACGAAAATTAACCATAATTTTTTAAAATATTTTTCCAACGCACTTTTTTCAAAAAAAAAAAAATCAGGAATACTAAATTAATCCTAATGATATATTTCCTCGTCAAATTAGGAAGGCTTATTTATATGGTCGATAATTTAACTCATCATCGACAAATTTCGATCTTATGGGATCAATTTTTTTTTTTAAATTTGAATTTTGATTCGGGTCGAATAGGATAAAATTATGAAATAATCGAGGTCGGGTCATGTTCGAATTTTAGGCAAATCTAATTCGATTCGATATTATATAAAAATTATTTTTTAATTAATTATTTAATTTTATTTATATATATATTTATATAATGATATTTTTAAATATTTATATTTAAAAAATAATATTTTATTAATTTCTGATCAGATTAAATAAAATACAATTTATATAGTATCCGATTGGATTCAAATATGAAAAAATAAAAAAAAATTAAATAAAATTAAATTCAAATTTAATAATACATAAAATCGAATTGAATTCAAAACAAATAAAATTCATCCCGAACTTGACCCGATACCAACACTATTTATTTAGCGTTGAGGTTTAAAAGTGCTTTTAGCTACAGTACTCGTTTTCAGCGCATCCTCATTGCTAAGCAGGGTGAAAAATTTTGAGTTTTGCAGTCAAAAAGTTTGGTTTTGCAAACCAAAAGCAAACGATACTTAAGAGATGTGCTTGCGGATCACAAGTACATTTGAAAGGCAAAATTATTTTTTATTTCTATAACTTTAAATTTTAATATTTTTTATATTTTTTTTTTTACATTTTAATACGTCAATAATACTTTTTTTATTATAAAAAAGGTCACAACTTAAATATACGAAAAAAATATTACAAATATTAAAATTTGACCAATAACACTTTTTTATAATAATACAAAACATTTAATATTCTTGAAACTTTTTTCAAACCGAATTTTTTTCAAACTGGAACAGTAATGCTAAGACCCGAATGTTATAGTGCATTCTTGCCATTATTCTCCTTCAAAAATTCTTTTTTTCTTCAATCCTACCTTTCTACTTTTTCATCATACCCTTGAAGGAAGAGGGAGAAACAGGCCAACCAGATTGCAGTCCAACAGCTCCAGTATTTTTTTAAACATTTTTTTTTTATTTTCAATGCTCTTTTAATTATCAATCATACAATTCCGTTTTGATTGTTCATTGTGTTTGATTGAGCCGAATGGTGCCAACTAAGGGTTGGGTAACATAATTCGTTGGTACAATCTTCTAGTGATTGTACCAAGAACTTGGAATCCAATCACCAGGTGCATATAAACACTGCTCAAGGATAATTAAAATATTATTTTTTAAAAAAATTGAGACAACGTTTTTAAAACTTAGAAAAAAAAAGTTAAAACAATGACTTATGATATAAGGCAAATGTTAAAGACCATTGAATAATACATATAGTGCCCAAATCCGAACATGCATTAGGAGCCATCGCAAGAAAAAGGAAGCCAGATTAAAATTGATAATTTTTTGTTTTTTTATGTGCAGCACTTGAAAATAAGTATCAAATTAAGAATGTAATCGAATCGAGTCGAGTTGATATAATAAGAAGTTCGAGCTCTACTCTTAACTCACGATTTGATACTTGACTCAAACTAGATCAAGTTTCATTTTTTAGTTCGAGTTCGATTTATGATCGAAATCGAACTATTCGAATTTGCTCAATTAATTTCGATTAATATATAAAAATAAACTCGATTCGTATATTCGATAAAAATTCGATTATTTGTACTCGAGTTTGAACTCGAATTCGATATATTTTATCAATTAAAATAATAAAAATATATTTAAATATAAAAATTCGATAAACTTGTGAGCTACTCGAACCAAGTATAAGAATACTCGAACTCGACTCGATCGATGAATCGAGCTACTCGAGCTTGAATTCGACTCGATAATAATCGAATCAAATTCAAATTTTATTCGAATCGAACACGAATAACTTATGAATATTAATGTATCATTTATATCTCTATATCAAACTAAATCAAGAGATTGGAAGTAAACCATAAATATAAACCAAAATTTATTCTAATGCTCATATTGTCGAGGAAAATTAGCATTTGGGGTTTGCTTTATAAAAAGGATGGAAAGTTAAGCTATAATATATGGAAGTGGTCGTAAAACCTAGTTATTGGATAAACAAATTTTAAATCCTTATCATTTCCTTATTTCTGCGGAGCAAATCCGAAATTCTACTGTTCAAAGGAAAAAAGAAAGCTACAGCTAAACCTGCCTTCCTAATGTAAATAAGTTGCACTGTCTATCAGGAAAAAAGAAAGCTACAGCAAAACCTGCCTTCCTAATGTAAATAAGTTGCACTGTCTATCAGTCAATGTCCTCCGTCGGACTTCTCTGAGGCAACTGCATGCTTACTATGTCTTCTCTAGGAACACGGCACACTGATGTGCTACTGGAGTCGTTAACCATCTGCCGACTTTCAGGTGTAGTTAATGCCAAAAGTTGCGTCGACTCTTTAGTAGGCCGGAAGACCAGGTAAGCGATTGCAGCCAAATAAATCGCCACACCTGAAAATCCAAATATTTCCAGAAATACGACAGCAACAAGTTTCCAATGACTGTGAAGAAGCAAGTGGATGAAGCTCGTCACAAGATAGTATATGTTTATACCCATGATCAGGGAACCAATGATCCATGTCACAACTGAAACCTGCATAGAACTTATCAAATAAGTAGATTCTTGGATAACAGAAAAGGAAAGACCAGGCATCTGAGTTATACTACAGAATGTAGACACTTTCTTCTAACCAGTACATATAAGGCCAAATATAGAGAAATTGATCCGTGCTTGTGATAAAAAACAAAATAAACACGCAAGAAAATTATACCCTATGCATGAGTGAGAAAACCTTCAAGAATCCTGGCCAAAACTTTTAAGTTTAGAATAGCTTATGCGTAACAACGCTTGGACAATATATTGATAGCATTCAAAATGAACAAAAGCCACTGGAAATTTTAGGTCGAACCAATTCTCTAAAGCTTTATAACTTTTAGATGTTCTCAGCCAGATCATTTTAATGACAACAATTGTTTATTCAAGCAACTCCCGAGAACAAAGTCAGTGATAATATTTTTGACCAAGTTTGTAACTAGATAGCACCTTGCCTTAAATCAGGAAAGCAAAATTAGTCTTACCGCAATTGGGTTGACGTATGTCCCCATCTTGGTCTCACTGCTGGTGAACTTGAGAAGTGGAATGAGAGCAAAAGGCAGCTCAAAGGATAAAATCATCTGCAAACAGGAATCAAGGACAACTAACTTGAGGATGATGCAAAGAAAAATCATGATTCCTTTTTGTCATAACTATGACAATTCTAATGATAAAATGATGCAACTTCCTCCGATTCCACTATCAAAAAGGAAAAGAGAAGGCTGCGAAAGACATGCTCAAAAGTGATTTAAATGCATCATTTACTCAGATTTCTTTGCAGGATCGACTATTCCAAGTTAATTATTTAAGCAACATGTGGAAAAACACTTATTTACAGCTGATTGTAATCTTGTAATCTATATATTTATATTTGTATCTCTAGAATTAAGTATTTGTATCCCTAGAATTAAGGAAGATTTAGTTTCCTAGTTTAACTCTTAGTTAGTTGTATATAAACTTAAGATTCTTGTATAATTAAAAATAAGCAGTTTTTCAATATACATTCAGTTTCCACATGGTATCAGAGCTTTAGGCTCTTCTTGGGAAGCAAAATTTTCAACCTTCATTGCTGACTTTTTTAGGCCTTCATTGACGAACCCTTTCAAAGAAAGATATCACTACCACCCAATTTGAGGAAATGTTAACTGAGAAAAATCACTGGAGTACTACAGATATCTTAGAAACAAGAAGAGTTCAACAAGGAAGAGATTGAAAAGCTAAGAAACTTATTTAAAATCTCTGAAAAGCCTACTATGGTATATTCTTTGGGTAAAGTTTCTACTTCAGGCAAAGCTTCCGGATCTCATGGATTAAATGTCTCGACTAAGCTTATTACGAGTTCTTGGTTCATTGACTCATGAGCCACAGACCACATGACACATTCCTCACAAAAGTTTAGTATATATAACCTGTGTCCTAGTAATAAGAAAATTGTTGTTGCTGATGGTTCACTTACCACAGTGACAGGATTAGGAGATGTTCAAGTTAATCCCTCATTTGTTCTTAAAAATGTTCTTCATGTTCCTAGATTGTCTACTAATCTGATATCTATACAAAAACTTACCAGAGATATGAATTGCAAAGTAACTTTTTATCATTCTTATTGTGAATTTCAGGACCAGAGTTCGGAAAAGATGATTGGACTTACTAAGAAGAAGGATGGACTATACTATCTTGAGACATCAAATAACACAAGTAGTATCAAAAATAGTTTACCTTTGTCATTTCTTTCTGAAAAATCTTCAAATAAAGACAAAATCTGACTTTATCATTTTCGTCTTGGACATCCTTCTTTCGGAACCTTGAGAAATATGTTTCCTTCTTTGTTCAAATGATTAAATGTTGAAGATTTTCATTGTGATATTTGCGAATTTGCAAAACATAGACGTGTGTTTTTTTCAATCAGTAACAAAAGATGTTCTATTCCCTTTTACTTGATTCATAGTAACATTTGGGGTCCCTCTACAATTTTTAATATTTCTAGTGCGAGATGATTTGTTTCATTTATAGATGATTGTACTAAGGTCTCTTGGGTTTTTTTACTTAAATCCAAATCAGATGTGAATAGTGTGTTTTTAAGCTTCCAAAACATGATCTAAAATCAATTTGGAGTGAGAATCAAGAAATTTAGGTATGATAATGTAAGAGACTATTTCAACCAGAGTCTATCCACCTATTTCCAAAAAGAGGGGATTATCCATGAGTCATCTTATGTTAATACTCCACAGCAGAATGAAGTGACAGAGAGGAAAAACAGTCATTTACTAGCCACAACCCGAGCCTTTCTTTTTCAAGCAAATGTACCTAAATCTTATTGGGGGAAGCTGTTCTCACTACCACACACATTATAAATAGGTTACCTTCAAGAGTTTTGGGATTTAAAACTCCTATGGAACTACTCTCACAATTTTATCCCAACCTCAATACCACAAACAATCTCACACCTAGGATATTTGGTTGTACATCATTTGTTCATGTTCACAATCATAATTGGGAAAAGTTGGATCCAAGAGCGATTAAGTGTATTTTTGTGGAGTATTCTTCAACTCAAAAAGGATATAAGTGCTATCATCCTCCTACCAAAAAATTCTGTGTCTGCAGATGTCACTTTTGAAGAAAATAAACCATTTTTTACTCAACCTTATCTTCAGGGGAAGATTTCATTCATGGAAGATAAGGATAAAGACTTCTTTTTGCTTGATATGCCCCTTTCTTCAACATTTACACCCATTAATTCTTCTAAGTCGAAACCTGTTTCTGCTGAGCCCAAGTCAAATATTGAATTTGAGTCTGAACCTATTCGAAACACGGAAGATGTGATAAAGGATAATATTGTTCTTGATTCTATGAAAGAATTACAGGTGTACTCAAGAAGGAAAGTTTCAAATCCTGAACCAGTGCTAGTCTAAGAACCTGATCCTAACTCTGGAAATGAGGTAACTACAATTTTTGACTCTGTTTCTCAAAATAAGCATGAATCTCTTAAAACTATAACTAGTGATTATGATTTGCCTATTGCCATTAGGAAAGGAACCAGAGAATGTACTAAACATCCACTATACCTAATATCTAATTTTGTGTCATTTGAAAAATCCTCATCATCCCACAAAAATTTTCTTGTGAGCCTAAATACTATTTCTGTTCCAACTACATTATCCGAGGTATTATCCAGTGGGAAATGAAGGCAAGCCATGAAAATAGAAATGGAGGCAAGCCATGAAAATAGAAATGGAGGCCTTAGAGAAAAATCAGATATGAAAACTGGTAGAGTTGCCTAAAGGAAAAAATCCAATGGGGTCTAAATGAGTTTTCACTGTAAAATACAATGCAGATGGTACGGTTGAAAGGTATAAAACCAGGTTAGTGGCTAAGGGCTACACTCAAACCTATGGAGTGGATTGCCAGGAAACCTTTGCTCCAGTTGCCAAGATGAATACAATTAGGATTTTGTTATCATTGGCTGCAAATTACAATTGGCAGCTTCAACAATTTGATGTAAAGAATGCTTTTCTACATGGTGATTTGGAAGAAGAAATATATATGAAGGTTTCACCAGGATTTGGAGGTCATTTAGAAGCAAACAAAGTATGCAGGGTGAAAAAAGCTTTATATGACCTTAAACAGTCTCCTAGAGCTTGGTTCGAGAGATTTGCCAAAGTGATGCTAGCAATGGGATATAAACAGAGTCAAGGAGATCACACATTGTTTATCAAGCACTCTAATTCAGGAAGAGTCACAGTTCTACTAGTGTATGTTGATGATATAATTGTAACTGGAGATGATGAAAAAGAGAGAATTTTAAAACAGTGTTTGGCTAGAGAATTTGAGATAAAAAGAGCTAGGGAGATTGAAGTACTTCTTAGGAATTGAAGTAGCTCACTCACGGCATGGTATTTTTATCTCACAACAGAAATATGTGATGGATCTTCTGAAGAAAACTGGGAAGCTTGCATGTAAACCTGCAAATACCCCTATAGATCCTTAATCATAAAATTGAAGAAGCTAATGAAGATGCTGCTGTAAATAGAGAGATGTACCAAAGATTAGTTGGAAGACTCATTTATCTCTTAAATACTAGACCTGATATAGCATATGCTGTGAGTGTGGTAAGTCAATTTATGCATAGTCCTAAAGAAGTGCATCTACAGGCTATCTACCGTATATTACACTATTTGAAGGCCAATCCTGGGAGAGGTATCTTATTCAAAAAAAATTCGGGGTTAGTTCTAAAAGCATATACAGATGTTGATTATGCAGGTTCAGTAACTAATAGAAGATCCACCTCAGGCTACTGCACTTTCTTAGGTGGTAATCTTGTGACTTGGAGGAGTAAAAAACAGAATGTGGTGGCAAGATCAAGTGCTGAAGCAGAGTTCAGAACAATGGCTCAAGGAATTTGTGAACTACTATGGTTAAAGATTATCCTAGAAGACTTGAAGATCAAGTAGGATGGACCAATGAGACTCTACTGTGATAACAAGTTTGCAATAAGCATTGCACATAATCCTGTGCAACATGACAGAACAAAACACATTGAAGTAGACCGACATTTCATAAAAGAGAAACTAGACAGTGGGTTGATTTGTACACCTTATGCATCAACTAAGAGTCAACTTGCAGATGTGTTGACTAAAGATTTCAGCAGTGCAACATTTCAAGAAATTATTTCCAAGCTGGGAATGGAAAACACCTATTCACCAGCTTGAAGGGGAGTGTGGAAAAACACTTATTTACAGCAGGTTGTAATCTCGTAATCTGTATATTTATATTTGTATCTCTAGAATTAAGTATTTGTATCCCTAGAATTAAGGAAGATTTAGTTTCCTAGTTTAACCCCTAATTAGTTGTATATAAACCTAAGATTCTTGTATAATTAAAAATAAGTAGTTTTTCAATATACATTCAGTTTCCACACAACACACTCCCTTTATCCATCCAAATGCGAGATATAGGTCTTTGTGGTATATGAAATACTTCTATTTGATGTAGCCAAATTAGTATCCTCACATGACAAAACAAACAACACTTCTTTTCTTCCTCCAACATGGAATCATAACAAAAGTGTTAAGCACAAAAGAGTAAAACCGAGGCACATTTAAACTAGATGGCTGCTTTATATGTAATATGATATTCTGAAACCACTGCTAGAAACATGATATCCAATAGAACATCAAGTAGTAAACAAAACTGTCATGGCACATCAAAACCTGCCGCTGCCCAACAAGCAAGTAATTTAATTAAGGGCACAACAGTCAAACAAGGAGCTACCACATTTATAGTACTGTAAAGTATCACCAACTATCAGAGAACCATTTAACTGAAAAGTTTATGCTGATCTCAATCTCTGTTCCGCACCCAGACTAAAACCAATTTGCAATATACAGAGAAATGCAACATGGACACAAGGCCACAACAGACCGCAAACAGACCAATGTAGAACAAGCACCATTTAAAGATCTCTAACATGTAGTTGCATGTGCAAACTTTTTGGGGCTCTGTGAGGCCTAAGAGCAAGCTTTTATCTTGCCACATGCTAGAATTAAGATTTTAGTTCAATATAATAAAGGATTGGTAAAGACAAGATAGTAACAAGTTTTGAGTTACCATACTCTTTTGGGTAAAGTGGCTACTGTCAAAACTTAAGCCCATAGATTAGGGCATGTTAGTATAATAATTTTACCATTGCACCAAACAATGGCCCCTTTGGTGGGCAATACAATCAAGGAAACTCAGCTTAATTATGCAAGCACCCCTTCAGCTAATTCACTAAAACTACACATAGAAATCTCACTCTATTCCAAAGATTGATATTATTTTATTTAGACACATGCACCAAAAAATTTTGCAAGAAGAAAACATTACAGGCAAGAATATCATACCGATGCAATGATAATTAGCTTTCCGGCCCCAGCAGAGCCACCAATGACAGCAACAATTAAACTAGGGACAATAGCCAAGCATCGAGTAAGTAAGTTCCGAATCCACGGTGTTAGTCGTAAATCAAGAAAGCCCTATAGAAAAAACAGGATAGTCCAAAGAAACAAACTTAATGCAATAAGCATATATCTCAGACAGAGAGCAAAAAAAGATACAAAGGTTATAAGGCTACTATAAAAATAGCTTCTATCAAGTTACTTTGAGAAACCAAAAAATCAACCAATCTTTTGTTAGTGAATTATAGAAGGAAATGAAAGAAATAGAGCAGAAATAGTTTTTTTTTTTTCCTTTCTTTCTTTTGTGGAAAAGAAAAAGGAGTTTACTTCTTAAGTATTTCCGAGAGACAAAAAGATGGTCATTAAAACCAGTGGACACTACTAGATCAAACTAACCGCAATTAGTTTATGATCAAGACTTATTTGATCCGAGAAGAACAAGATAAGAATCTATAACCTATGATCTTGACATGCCAAGCTCTGCAAATTAATTTTTATCAGAGTGATGAAAAGGTCCGGTTTTATAGCACCTTAATAACAATTATTTATAACTTCAAATTTTCAATATAGAATTGCTTACATTGTTTTATTCCCAAAAGATACCTAACCTGCAAAATGCTATGCAATAGAGTAATAAAGTACCTGCATTACATATTGCCCAGCATATGTTCCTGTTATAGTAGAACTCTGACCTGATGCAAGCAAAGCAATTGCAAAAAGTTTTGAACTCCAATTACCTAGGACATTCTGTAAACAATAATATAAATAATATCATTTTTCAAATCTAGAAAGTTCACGAGTGAACAAAAATTATCTTAAGATGAAACAAATTAAAACCCGAGAGTCAGGGAAGTAAAGGCAGCTAAAGAAGTCATAAAATGGCTAGGGACCACATACACTTAGTAAGAACGAGGCCTTGTTCAGGTCTAAATCCTCACAGCTAGCTTGATCTTCTGGATTCAAATTTGAGGAATTGCAAACTGCACCACTTACAGAGATAACGGAGACATTAATGAGAAATGCCACCATCAAAGCAAAGCCACTTTCTATCATATAAAATCTGCAAGCCTCCTGCAGACAAAGTACTGCTTCAGATATTGCTCATTGGTATATAGAATAAATCATCACTAACATGTAATGTTTCCTATTGTAGTGAATGGTATCTTGCTGCTTTTGCCTCCATAAATTTAACTAAGTCTTACAGAGATTATATTGTTTGAGCACTCAATTATGATTGTCGACATACTTTGTAACTTAGCTTTCAGAAGAAGGGGAAAATAAACACCCAGAAACCAAATATAGATTTTCCGTCCGAGAAGGAAAGTGATTTGGACTCAGCACCTAGCCCATCAGACTATTATCTACAAAGGTTGAGCTCAGTGAATTGCCATGAGCAGCTTACAAATATAAACTCTCTCTTGAATCTTCTCCAGCTAGAAAAATTAATCGAGTCAGATTTCAGAGAGCTAGTCTCTACAAAATTTGTTGGCGGAACATGCATAACTAAATACTTAAATGCCTATATTTAGTTAAGCAAGAGGACTTGAAAAGAAACTAAACTACAAATATGATAAAATGGCTAACTATATTGCTCTTCAAAGGAGGCAGATGTTGTAAGATTCTCAACTATGTTTGGCAAATATGCACATTAGGATCATATTTCCAGTTGCATATGGAAAAGCAAGTTTAAAACTAGTCTGCCTAAAGAACTTAAAATTATCCAAGAAATGACCTTAATGCCCCGCACTGATCGTGGGATTCTCCTGGAAAGCACCAATGCTGAGTGGAGAAAGAGGTTGTGCCTGCAAAAGGGTCACAGAATCCAACAGATTTACAATGTCTCAAGTGGCAGGAATCACTAGAAACTGGGATGAAAAAGACACCTACGGCATAACCATAGCTCCAAGAAGTGAAATGGCTAGACCAGTAGCACCATTTCCTTTGAGTTGAGGAACAAAAAGCCCATCAAGAACTTCACTGGCCACAGGCTTCGCATAGCCAAGCTCCGCAGAAAAGCACCCAGCAATTGTAAGTACAAGAAGAGTGATAAAAAACTCAAGTTTCCTAACCTGAAAAATAAAGAACATAAAGGATTGAGCTAATTCCAACAAATCAATATCTTGGATCAATTAAACAAGCCAATAAAGTTGTACTTCGTTGGTTCAATGACACAGAAGAACAAACCAGAAAAATACAGTAATACCTAGATGTATAAGGCATACAAAATCAATCAACATACCCCATACTGCTGCAATGCTAGAAGAATCAATGTACTAAGTCCTGTCAAAAGGACACCAATCCAAACTGGGATGTTGAAGAGCATATTCAATGCAAAGGCTGTGCCAATCACTGGACAAGGAATGGATCACAAGTCAGAAGTAGAACCGAACATGAAAAACAATTGAAAAGGCAACAGAAACTAAGCCCCAGGTTTCTGTCCAGTCCATCCCAAGCAATTTTTATAAACAGCATTAGAAGGTTAAAAGTTACAAGAATGAAATGGAAGCTTTAAGAGTCATGCACAAATTTAACCAACATTAAGCACTCAAAGAGTTAAATAAAGATGGTAAATGGACTAACTACAAGAAAATTTTAAAAATTAATTGAAGTGCTGCATCATTTCAAACCTTAAGTTCATTTTTCTGAATATAAAATATATTTTCCTGAGTTATTTCACATTGAAATGTTTCCAATTAAATTAAGACCTTTATCATGCAGCAATAAGACCTCATGTTCTTCGGCTTTTAAGCAAATAAGCTTTATCCTCACCTTCAGGAATATCACATGCAACAATTGCAATTTCAGCAAGAACCCATAGGATGAAGTTTGGGCCTCTAGGATATTCAGCTCTGCAGTGTTCTGCTAAATGCTTCCCTACAACAATGAAAGAAACATTCAAATGAAAAAAATAATATATATATCAGTACTTGTGGGAAAACACTTATTTACAGCTAGTTGTAATATTGTAATCTGTATATTTATATTTTTATCTCTAGAATTAAGTATTTGTATCCCTAGAATTAAGGATAGAAAATTATGATAAATAATCCCTCAATTAGAGGATCAGTTTTAGGAAGATTTAGTTTCTTAGTTTACCCACTAGTTAGTTGTATAAAAACCTAAGGTGCTTGTATAATTCATGATTTGCAGTTTTTTAATACACATTCAGTTTTACTCTTAGTTTTCCACATAGTTTTATTTCTTAGTTTTTCCACATGGTATAAGAGCTTTAGGTTCTTCTTGGGAAGAAAATTTTTTCAGCCTTCGTTGTTTAATTCTATTTCATGCCTTCATAGCCAAATCTTGTTAAATCTTTTAGTCTTATTTTTTCCTTATTTGGCCTTCATTGTCTAGAATCGTCTCTGGTTAAACTTTTACTATCAAGGCTCATTTCAATCCTAACAAAGATAACCATGCTAGAGATTGCAAAATCAACCACTACTACTCAATTTGAGGAAGTGACAATTGGTAAAACCATCGGAGTACTACAAAAGTATCGGGAACAAAAAAAGTTGGACAGAGAAGACATTAAGAAACTAAGAAGCCTATTGAAAGTTCTTGAAAAGCCTACTGGAGTATGCTCTTTGGGTAAGGTCTTTAGTTCAAGTAAAACTTTTGGTTCTCATGGATTAAATGTCTCGATTAAACCTATTACAAATTCTTGGGTCATTGACTCAGAAGCCACAGACTATATGACGCATTTCTCATAGAAGTTTAGTACATATTATTTTCTAGTAATAAGCAAAATTATTGTTGCAAATGGTTCACTAACTACAGTGGTAGGATTAAGAGATGTTCAAAGTAATTCCTTGTTTGTTTTTAAAAATGTTCTTCATGTTCTTGGATTATTTCTGATATCTATATAAAAACTTACCAGAGACATGAATTGTAAAGTGACTTTTTATCCCTCTTATTGTGAATTTTAGGATCAGAGTTCGAAGAAGAAGATTAGACTTGCTAAGGAGAAGGATCGATCATCCTATCTTGAGACATCAAACAACACAAGTAATATCAAGAATAGTTTACCTTTGTCATTTCTTTCTGAAAAATCTCCCAAAAAGACAAAATCTGACTTTATCATTTTTGTCTTGGACATCCTTCTTTTGGAACTTTGAAAAACATGTTTCCTTCTTTGTTCAAAGGATTAAATTCTGAAAATTTTCATTGTGATGTTTGTCAACTTGCAAAGTATAGAGGTGTGTCTTTTCCAATTAGTAATACAAGAAGTTTTATTCCTTTTTACTTGATTCATAGTGACATATGGGGTCCCTTTACAATTCCTAATATTTCTGGTGCAAGGTGGTTTGTTTCTTTCATAGAGGATGGTACCAGAGTGGTCACTTGGATATTTTTACTTTAATCCAAATTATATGTGAATAGTGTGTTTTTAAGCTTCCAAAACATGATCCATAATGAATTTGGAGTGAAAATCAAGATATTTAAGTCTGATAATGCAAGAGACTATGTCAACCAGACTTTATCTACCTATTTCCAAAAGGAGGGGATTACCATGAGTTATCTTATGTTAATACTCCATAACAGAATAGAGTGGCAGAGAGGAAAAACAATCATTTACTAGTCATAACCCAAGCTTCACTTTTTCAAGCAAACGTACCCAAATTCTACTGGGGGGAAGTTGTTCTCACTGCCACATGTTATAAATAGGTTCCCTTCAAGGGTTTTAGGATTTAAAACTTCTATAGAAGTACTCTCACAATTCTATCCCAACTTTAATATCACAAATAACCTCACACCTAGGATATTTGGTTGTATATCATTTGTTCATGTTCACAATCATTATAAGGGGAAGTTGGATCCTAAAGCAATTAAGTGCATTTGTGTGGGGTATTCATCAACTCAATAAACGTATAAGTACTATTATCCTCCTACCAAAAAATTTTATGTGTCTGTAGATGTCATTTTTTAAGAAAGTAAACCATTTTTTATTCAACCTTATCTTCAAGGGGAGACTTCATTCATGGAAGATAAGGATAAAGATTTCATTTTGCTTGATTTGTCCTCCTCTTCAACATTTTCACCCATTAATTATTCTGAGTCAAAATCTGTTTCTTTTGAGTCCAACTCAAACATTGAATTTGAGTCTGAACCCATTCCAAACATAGAAGATGTGATAAAGGATAATATTATTCTTGATTCTATGAAAGAATTACAGGTGTACTCAAGAAGAAAAGTTTCAGATCCTAAACCAATGCAAGTCTAAGAACCTGATCTTAACTCTGGAAATGAGGTAATTACAATCTTTAACTCTGTTTCTCAAAAAGAGCATGAATCTCCTAAAACTATAACTAGTGATTATGATCTGTCTATTGCCATTAGGAAAAGAACCAAAGAATGTACTAAGCATCCACTATACCCAATCTCTAATTTTATGTCATTTGAAAAATTCTCATCATCCCACAAAAATTTCCTTATGAGCCTAAACACTATTGAGAAATGGAGGCAAGCCATGAAAATAGAAATAGAGGCCTTAGAGAAAAAAAAGACATAAGAACTGGTATAGTTGCCTAAAAGAAAAAATCCAATTAGGTGTAAATGGATTTTCATTGTAAAATACAATGCGGATGGTACTGTTGAAAGATATAAAGCCAAGTTGGTGGCTAAGGGCTACACTCAAACTTATGGAGTGGATTATCAGAAAAATTTTGCTCCAATTGCCAAGATGAATACAGTTAGGATTTTATTATCATTAGTTGCAAATTACAATTGGCAGCTTCAACAATTTGATGTAAAGAATGCTTTTCTATATGGTGATTTGGAAGAAGAAATATATATGAAGATTCCATCGGGATTTGGAGATCGTATAGAAGCAAACAAAGTATGCAAGCTAAAAAAGGTTTTATATGATCTTAAATAGTCTCCTAGGGCTTGGTTCAGGAGATTTGCCAAAGTGATGCTAGCAATGGGATATAACAGAGTCAAGGGGATCACACATTATTTATTAAGCACTCTGATTCAAAAAGAGTCATAGTTCTATTACTGTATGTTGATGATATAATTGTAACTGAAGATGATGATAAAGAAAGAGAATCTCTAAAACAGTGTTTGGCTAGAGAATTTGAGATAAAAGAGTTAGGGAGATTGAAGTACTTCCTAAGAATTGAAATAGCTCACTCATGGCATGGTATTTTCATCTCACAATAAAAATATGTGATGGATCTTTTGAAGGAAACTGAGAAGCTCGCATGTAAACCTGCAAATACCCCTATAGATCCTAATCATAAACTTGGAGAAACTAATGAAGATGCTGTTGTAGATAGAGAGATGTAGTAAAGATTAGTTGGAAGACTCATTTATCTCTCACATATTAGATCTAATATAGCATATGCCGTGAGTGTGATAAGTCAATTTATGCATAGTTCTACAGAAGTGTGCTTACAAGCTATCTACCGTGTACTGCACTATTTGAAGGCCAATCCTGGGAGAGGTATCTTATTCAAAAAAAATTCGGGGCTGGCTCTACAGGCATATACGATGCGGATTATGCAGGTTCAGTAACTGATAAAAGATCCACCTTAAGCTATTGCACTTTCCTAAGTGGTAATCTTGTGACTAGGAGTAAAAAACAGAATGTGGTAGCAAGATCAAGTGCTAAAGCAGAGTTCAAAGCAATGGCTCAGGGAATTTGTGAACTACTATGGTTAAAGATTATCCTAGAAGACTTGAAAATCAAGTGGGATGGACCAATGAGACTCTACTGTGATAACAAGTCTGCAATAAGCATTGCACACAATCCTGTGCAACATGACAGAACAAAACACATTGAAGTAAACTAGCATTTCATAAAGGAGAAACTAGACAGTGGATTGATTTGTACACTATATGTATCAACCAAGGGTCAGCTTGCAAATGTGTTGACTAAAAGTCTCAACAGTGCAACATTTCAAGAAATTATTTCCAAGTTAGGAATGGAAAACACTTGTTCACCAGCTTGAGGGGGAGTGTGGGAAAATACTTATTTACAACTGGTTGTAATATTGTAATATGTATATTTATATTTGTATCTCTAGAATTAAGTTTTTGTATCCTTAGAATTAAGGAAAAAAATTAGGAAAGACAATCCCTCAATTAGAGGATCAGTTTGAGGAAGATTTAGTTTCTAAATTTACCCACTAGTTAGTTGTATATAAACTTAAAGTGATTGTATAATTCATGATGAGCAGTTTTTCAATATATATTCAATTTCTCTTAGTTTTTCACACAATTTTATTTCTTAGTTTTTCCACAATATCAAAATATAAAAAGAAAATATATAGCAATATACACCTGTAACAACACCCAATTTGGCAGCCAATGACTGAATAACAAGAGCAGCACATGAAGACATTAATATGATCCAAAGTAACTGCAAGAAAGATATAATTATCATAAGAGGAACTGAGGCAGAAATTTATTTTTCAAAAAAAAAAAGAAATAAAAGAAAAGGAGAAGTTAATGTTAAGTTTCCTCACAGGTACTCATGTTGTTCCAGTAACCATGTTGGCATAGATCAAGAAAGAAGCAGTGTCTATTGAGGCTCAAACAGACCACAACAAGAGACCATTTTTCTCATTTAAAGTTGTTTTGGATAATGAATTTTTACAAATAAGACCTTGCTAAAATGAGGAATTTGAAATGTACCAAAAAAAAAAAAAAGAAATTTACAAATTTTACATCAACTTCCAATAGTATTGTCACTCTATCCTCCTACTCTCCTTTGCAAACAGGACTTACTATCAAATTTTCAAATTGTCTAGAAAAAAAAAAGAAGAGAATAATTTAAAAGCCAAATAAATGCAGTAGAAAGTACTCACACCATACTTGTACTGTGCTCCTGCTTGCAAATCAGTTTCAACTATAAGTTAAAACAAAAGATTAGCGTTACAATTATATGCTTATGTTAATTTTGGTAACACAAAGAAAACTTCTAAAATATTGATCTTACAATTTCCAGGATCAATATATGCAATTGAAACAAGGAATCCAGGACCTATGTATGCAAATAAGTTTTTCCAGCTTTTTCTCTGCATAAATAAATTGTCAATAATGAAAATTATCATGAGTCCAGTGAACACTGAATTCTTATACATAAAAAGTGCAGTACATTTATAGAGCAATGGTCATGCCAGGAACTTGTTCAGAAAAAAATCAGAAAATTGTAAACTTATAGACCAATTGTCCAGAAGGAAAATGCAACCTGAAAGAGATAATACCAAATTTCCCTTAACCAGTATCCAGAGAGGAAGAACAATATCTAAGCAGGAATTTAATACATAAAATGTGTAAAGTTCTATCAAACTAGCGTAAGCTCAAGAGACAACATACCAATAGAATGGTAACCATTTCTCATCTTTTATTCATATACTACAGCATTTCAGCTCTCAGTGATTACTCAAAATCTCTTTTCACATCATAAGGTGCAATCACAATTATGAGCAGATCAAACTAGCTGATGAATCTATGGCTTATTGAAAAATAATTATCAGATACATATTGAATTATTTTATCCTTGCTACTTAAATGAAGACACCACGTACAAATCCTTTCACAGTTGTAAATGAAACCTCAATGATTTCCTGTTGATCACCCCATATCATATTTTTTGATATACACATATAATACTTTTTTTTTCTTTATTTAACTGCATAGGTTTTGTATGATCAAAGAATATAACACCATCATAATTCAACATTCTTCTTTGCAGGTACTATCCATCTGCAAACCTCCTATGTTGACAAAAGATTCTTTTCTAATCTCTTTTTTATCCTATCCTATTCTTTGTGCAGAAAATTCCAGACTAGATAGGTTTATGCCTTTCTCTATATTAAATATTGTTTCCATAAGATGTGCATTTCTGGACTAATTGTATAGGAAAATGGAAATTACTGACTTCCTTTTCAATTGTATGAGTCATGATGGTACCTCTCCCAAAGCACTTAATAGTAAAAAACACAAAGCAAACAAAAGTATAATGAAATAATGGTTTCCCCAACATTTAATTGCATTTTCACAAGGTTTCTTTGGCAACATAAGGCTCACATCTTATTTCCCTGAATAATCTGTAGTCATTGAGGACCACGCAGAGACTTTCATTTTATAACATTCACAACCCTCAAACCTTTTGATAACTTGGGATAATCCTGATTTATAATTTCTTTTATAAGTAAAGATTTCACACATGGTGAAATGCCCTTCCATAAGCAATAGCAATATTGAATTGATTTTTCTGATGCATATTTAAATTTCTCGGACTACAGTTTCAGAACACTTCTTAGGAAATACTTAATAGCAAAAATATAATTCAATACTTTTTCTCTCAGATTGGCATCAAAATCCATAAGCTGGAATTGCAATATGTAATTATAAATTACAAAATCCATCAGAAAATAGAAGAAGAAACAAGAATTCTGAACACTTTCTTATAATAAATCTTGTAATCTTCAAACTTGGTGTCGTAAAGACATTTATAGTGATTGATTACCCGAAAAAAATTTAAAAGAACCCAACTAACACTATAGGAAGATATAAACCTAATTGTTCCTATCAACAGTAAGGGACAAATAAAGAAGGCATGTTAAGCAACAAATGCAGACTTCACATGATACGGAATAAATCATACCACGTCATGCAAGTTTCAAAATCCATTATCAACTCATCTAGTCAGAGATGATTTAATGACAATTTCTTAACTAATCCCTTTCTGCAGTAAACAATTGAAAAAGTCATCCTCAGCTTATTATTAAATAGGACGCCAAAGATGACCGTAGCCATCCTCCTATAGCCATATTCCAACAACATCACCAATTAACACTCTTGCTATGAACATCTAAAAAGTCATCTTCACCTAAATCCACCAATTGACTGAGACCAAATAATTCCCACTCACATCACTTGAATCTTTCTCTCCCAAAATCTTAGTCGAGGTTTCGGCAAGACCTCTCCTGAACTTAATCAAGCCATATCAACAATCACCTACTATAATATATGCTTTATCATTTACTCTTCCTTAAACAAAAGAAATTAAATAAGAATCAACAATTACAAAAAACGTTCAATTCAATAATAAAGATTCTATAAAAGATTATATGAATAACCAATCAAACTCACGTCTGGCACCACTATCTGATCAGTATCTGCATTCTGGATCAGTGGTGCATTTGCGAAACTCTGGTTTCCGATAGAAGCAATGAACTGGGGTTGCCCAGAATTCGAATCCGCCATACCTTCTTTTTCCTCTCTATTTTATCCAACTGAACTTAAACCAATACCCAAATGAGAAAATCAGACAAAAAAAAAAAAAAACATGTATTGGTTACATGGGGTTCAGCTTTAAAGCAAAATCCGAGCAATCTGGTTAGCTGAGACAGAACAATAAAAAAGAAAAAGAAATGAAAAAAAAGATACAATTTTTCTTGGCAGGCAAACTAAAAGAGCAAGAACAACATGAATAAAGAATCTGACAAGCCTCAGCCCGTAAAAATGAGCATAAATGAAAGAAGAGAAGGAAAGAGCAGATACCCAGAGAGCCTCTCTGTACCAGTTTCTTCTGTGTATAATAAAGATGTAACTCTCTTCCTATAATAGTCTATTATATATAGAGAGTGAGAGTGAGAAGAGAGGAGTTGTTCGATGTGGAAGTCTTTCTCAGTTAAATTTTATATTTAAGACAACTTTTGGCTTTTGATTGCTTTTTGTGGGCTCTACTCTCCAGTTTACAAGTGTCTTAAACTCCTGTTTTCTGGTTTTACTAACAGCATGGAGATCTCACTCTCTTGTACCGTTCCTTGTTTCCCACGTACTCCGTTTACAAAGTACAAAACTGTTTGTTCTTCTCTCAAACCATTTCCACGATAGTCCCCGTGAGCCAATTTACCTTTTCTCTTTAATTGAAAGAGTGAGTCCATTCATATATAATCTAATTTTAAATACGATATAATGATATAATATAAAAATAATATAAAAAATATTATATATATTTTTTAAAAAATATTATATATATTTTTAAAAATATATTATATATATTTATATTAATATAAATTTTAATATGATATAATTCATATTTTATATATATTAATATATCTAAACACGTGAGATAAAATGAATAATATATTTAATTTAATTTTGTTATATAAATATACGTTTAATATATTTATATTTATTTTAATTATAATATTAAACTATAAAATTATTTTTAATTTTTAATTTTTTAATTATGATAATTAATTAATTATTTAATATACATAAAAATTATTTTAAACATTTAATTATGATATTTATTTAATAATTATTATGAAATTATTTTTTATATTATGAATATAAATACAATATTAAATATTAATATTAATATTAGTCTTATATATTATTATTTTATTCTTTAATTTTTAATAATTTATTATTTTAAATTTGATACTAAAAATTAATATATTTAAGTAATATTTATTAAATATATATATTAAATACATATTAAATGGATATAATTTTTTCATATTTAAGTATTTTATATTATTAATATGTCAAGTTTATTAAATTATAAATTATAAATAATTTATAATTATTTATTATTTTAATCATGTGCTTATATATATTCATATAGTTATATTTATTCATATATATTTATATTATTCATATTTATTCGTATCATATTTAAATAAATTAATTATATATATTTATCGTATTATATCACGTGTAATAAATATAATAAATATATCGTATTCATATTTAAGATTTAAATATATTTTATAATTTATGTTGTGTTATTATATATCAAATATGATAAGATATATGATAAAAAAAACTAAAATTGTCATATCTATCCAACCATCACCTCCTATGATTTAGAACAATTTGTTTTTTCATGGGACAAGATTTAGTTTCTTAAAACAACAATTTTTATTTTGCTTAATATATTTAACTCAAATAAATTTACTTTTAATATTATTTTTTATTAATTTATTTTGACAATAATAAGAATAAATACACAATTAGATTCAAATTGTCTTTATAAATAAACTTTCATTGTGGAGAATCAATTATTTCTCCCAATCTTTACTTGATATGATTTAAGTCTTCAATATATGTGATTAAGATTATCAAAATTTTATGCGTTCTTTCGTAATATTAAATTGGGTTAAATATTCATTTGACCCATAACTATAACACCCCGATCACTTTGAGAATAAAACTTTGCAATCAAATTCTTGAAGTTGAATTGATTAACATTGTTAGTCAAATGCTGATGTGGCAAATTTCAGTCAACAAAACCATGTCACGTATCATTTAATTTAATTTTTAAAAATTGTTTTTAAGTATAAAAAATATAAAATATAAATTTTAAAATTTTTTATAAATATTCATAATTAAAATTTTATTTTTGAAAAAAATAAAAAAATAAATTTTAATTTATATTTCAAAATAAAAATGAAATACATAAAGTAATTTTTTTTAATTTTACTTTTTGAAATAAAAAATTTTTAAATTCAAAAAGTGAATGGAGTCGAGGAGAGAGAGAGAGGAGAGAAGGGAGAAGGTGAGGGTCGGCCTACCAACGATGATATATAGCCCACTAGGAGCTAGATCTAGCTGGTGCGAAGCAGCTTTGACGGATCTGCTTCTGGTTGAGTTCCTTCTTCCGTCGGCCTTCTCTCTGCTTCCCCAAACTTGCCGACGCCACTCCTGTCCTTCGTCTCTCTCTCCCATCGTCTCTCAATTTGGGTTTTTTTTTTTTTTCTTTTTTTATTTTGTTTTTGTAACTTTAAAACTAAAAAATTTATGTTTTTTTACCTTTTGAATTCCTTTAAAATATTTCGTATTTTTATTTATATTTTTATTTTTTAACTAAAGATGTGACGTGAATCCAAAAATGATATAACGACATATGATTGGTTTTCAATGTCACATCATCTTTTAAGTTATACATTAATATTATATTGTAGGGGGAAAGTACATGATGGAAAATAATTACTTGTACTTAATTGTGAATAAAATTTTTGTACAGATACCAATGTCATAGAATAACATATGTTCGAGGGTCAATAAATATTTAACCCTATTGAAATTATAACATGGAATCGTTTTTTGGTATATATGGTTAATTTTTTATTGATTTGTAAAAAAATACTTATTAAATTGTATTTATTCATAAAAATAATGAATTTATTTAATAATTTTTTTGAAAATTATTTTCATTAAAATTGATTTATAGTTTATAATTTTTTATAAAATGAAATATCATAATTTTATAAATTGTTCATTCACTAAATATTATTTTATATCACTATTTTATAAAATGTTTGTTGGTTTTAGGTTGAATGTGTAGTTTAAGGACAAATATATTTTATATTAAAACTTAAAACTTTAGTTTAAATTATAATTTCGAATTTTGATACTAAAATAAATTTATGAAATAAAAGAAAACTATTTTTATTATATAATTTATATGAAAATTTTTATTTAAAAATTGCAACATAAAATGTTCAGTTTCCTGCTTATAAATCATAAATAAATAAATCAACTGACTTGCGGTATCAGATTGCAAAATTAAAAAATTCGGTAATCGAACGGTGTAGAAACAGGCTAATCTAGTGCAATGTCTATCGTTAGCCGCATATGATAATGCCTCCTTCATATTCTCCAACGTATGGCCGTGCATGAAGATGTAAAAAGCATAAACCCACATTGGCACGTCATAAAAAATGAAAATGCGACCCGCCATCAGAGAAAACCCTTTGCTTCAAAGAAAACGACAAGCGACATGCTACGTTTGTCGTTACTGGATAGCCATATGGTTGGTTGTAATTTTAGGTAAGGTTTATAACTATTTGGATTGAATAATATTTTATTTAACTTTTTAAAATAATATATAATATTATAAATTTTTTAAATTTAATTTGAATTCGAATTAATAAAATTTTTATTTGAATTGAATTTTATCTATTTGATTTGATTTATCTATTTTTAAAATTTAATTTTTTATATATTATTTTAAGAAAATTTTTAATATATTTAAATAAATTTATATATAAAATAATTATTTTTATTTTATAAAAATTAAAAAATATATATAAAAACTAATAAAAATATATAATTTGTTTCATTTTTTCAAATTTTCATATCTTGATATGAAATTCAATTCGATTTTTATATATACATTTAATATTTAAAATTGATTCGAACTGTTTAAAAAAAATCGATCCAAACATTGCTATTAGGGGTATTAAGTGGTCCAAATGGTATAATGGCATTTTTCTTCATTAAAAGCCTCTGGTAAATAATTAGGGGTATTTCAGATATTTGTATCGACCTGACCTGACACATTTAGTGTTACATTAGCTCGGTCATGTCATTATTGTTTCTCATTAACCCATTATCTTTTATCTATAAATATAGGTATCCAGACGATAATATCAAAGTTTGATCTTGTCATAAACCTTTTTCCTTTCTCTCATTGCAACCTCTTTCATCTTGATTTCTGACTTACACGTCGAAGTGTAAATGCAGATAACATTCCCTGCCTTTGCTTCTGATCATTCTCTTCCTATTTTCTATTCTTTCAGGAATATCCTCACATTAGAGGTTGGCACAAATATTTGGCGCTTAAGTAAGAGCTTTTCCATTCATTACCCAAGCACGAAATAATGCCCCCTAAGAAGAGAACTTTAGATGAAGGAGAGATAGTCGTTTCGATTGAAATGGAGACATGTAATAGCCAGTATTCGAATTAACTTGCCCCACAATAGGCTATCTAGCTATATAGCAATTCCAAGTCCTGACCAAGCAGATATATGCTATTAAATAAATGTTATAGACTATAACCCCACCCCAGGCCTTGAAAGTTCTCGACCTAGTTACCCCAGGGTAAAAAGTTGTGAAAAGGTAACCGAGCTATGAAAAGATGGAAGCCTCCTTGACCTTCAGAGAAGAAAAGTACGACATTTCTACTCACCACCACCCCATTCACAACTCAACACATGCTATAACCCAAAAACCAAAACAAACTATCCCAAAGCCCTTGCCAAACAAAGACTTAAAAGTTTATATGCAAGCTATGGAGAAATAGCTAAAGGTGAAGGTAGTGAGTTTTGAAGACGAGCTTAAATTTTTGGAGGCCTTGCCTTTCACCGAATAGATTGATAGAGCAATGCCTCCTAAAGGGTTTAAAATGCCAACTTTAGAAACTTACGATGGTACTCTTGATCTCTTCGATCATTTGAAACTTTATAGAGCTAACATGATGATGCAAGGTACGGATGAAACTCTGATGTGTAGAGGCCTTACTATTACCCGCAAAGGTGCAGCTCGATCTTGGTATAATAGTTTAAAACTAAGGTTAAGCAAAATATTTAAAGAGCTTAGCAATTCTTTCTTGTCTCAATTTATAAATAGCCGAAGAACGAAGAAGACGACATTAAGCTTGACATCAATTTATCAAGGCAGTAATAAATCCCTAAAAAACTATGTCACGTAATTTTAACGTGAAAGATTTACAAGTAAAAGACCCAAAATAAATGGCTGCTGTAGCTATCTTGACAAGTGGACTTAGTGATAGAGAGTACCACCTAAAGCTAACCCTATCATTAGAGCTACCTAAGACTTTGGCCAACGTCTTACTTGTAGCTGAAAAATATATAAATACTAAAGCTGCATTGAGAAACACTAAGGTGAGAGAGGCTCATCCCTCCTCTTCGGTCATAAGAAAGTCAAAGATTTTTACGATTATCTTCTAAGAGGGAGACGATATAGGGCCTAAAACCTTAGTGGAGAAAAAAATTATACTATACTAAATACCTCATTAGAAAGGATTTTGATGCAAATGAAGAGAAATCTGGAGCTCAAATTGCTGAAGCCACATAGATAGAATTCAATGAGGGATCCAACCAAAAGATATGCTTTCCATAAGGACATAAGCCATAACA